AAACTTGAAAAAGGGACTTCCACCGATGGATCCCTAGACGAACTGCACGAAAAGAGAATGAATTTCACAAAATAACTCAGGAAAAAAAATTAAACCACATAAAAATTTCAAAAAATACAAAGAGCAAAATTGATACACCAAAAACCGCTCACCGATAAATCAAAACCGATTATCGCAAGTACAATTAAAACACGTATACACAGTGTTTACTCGTAAGTATAGATGCATGTGCATACGGAAAATGGAATTGAAACACCGATAATTTTGTGTAACGGTAGCGAGCGAGCGAGCGAGAGAGAGAGAGAGGGTGTGTGATTCCGTAAGAAGACCGTGAGTAAACGAAAGAGCATTCTCATGTGACTTTCTATTGGGATATGTCAATTGTGCCAAATCCTTTGAACGTCGCATCAGTCAAGTATCCAGAGTGTGTCACCGGGTCGTAGGCTAACTTTTTCAAATTCAAAATGGGTATTTGGTATGAATCAAAATTAGATATTTTAGTAATATGTAATAGAAGTTTTTGAAATATTTGATTGAAAAGTTGTGAAATTCATGAAAGATGTTGTTAATATTAATTGTTTGATTTTGACTTAAATTAAAATTTGATTTTAATCCGAACCAAACAGGTCTCATTCTCTTGGTAAAATAATTGTATACGTAAATCAGATCTTTTTTCGATCTACGAAAAATACTATCACAAAATCTATTTTTCCAAAAAATAATGGGTCAGACAAAGCCATAGGTCAGTCATTTATTATAGCGAGAACTGTCGAAAATTTTTGGAAGGCAAAGCAACATCGAGATTAATAAATATTCATTCCATTTAATTATTTTTATATTAATATTATTTTAATATTTTAAATACGATTTAAATTAAAAATATATAAAAATAAAATAAAAAGTTTCGAATTCAAAGAATTCACAGATCAATTTGGTGAGACTTGTGACCCAACGCAGGCTACCAAAATGGACATCTACAATGCACATGGTTTCTAAATAAGGAAAAAGTTCTACGTCACGTTACTTGAGACGCGTTTTTACTTTTTGTTTGTTGTTAATTACCGAACTTTAATTTATTTCACTATGCTCACTTGACTTATATTTTTGTTTCAATGTAATCACTCAACTTGTATTGTAGTTCCAATTTTACTATTACGTCTATCGATGGAATTTGCGACTTGTCGATGAGTTAAGTGGCTCGAATCACAAATTCCATCCAGATGTTATGATTAAATTAAAACAAAAACAAGTCGAGCGATCAAATTGAAATTTTGATGACAAATATTAAATTTTTATGTCAAGTAAAATTCAGTAAAATATTATATTACTAATGGTGCGTTTGAGCCACTTTTTGGAAGAATGTATTTTTGCATAGTAGATTGATGGAGAATGTATGGTTGAAAAAGAAACAAAAGTTATTTATGTGATGAAAAATATTATTTTATTGAAAAATGTGTGACTGAAAATGAGTAGAAGAATGATAATTGAAATTTTAATATAACTCAA